CTACCTGCAGATGCAAGCTGGCGCCTTGGAACTGTTGAAGACCCGCAGCTTCAACCTGGAGCTATGGCGCTGCGCAGGTAAGCCGGTAAGTGTCCGTCTGCCACCTCTAGCCGTCACTCAGTGTTAATCGGCGCCAGTTGGGCGATGTACATACAAACCGAGTTGGGCGATGTACATACAAACCGAGGATCCGCAATGTGATAAAAAGGACTGAATGGACAATGCAGTGTAAGTGGAATCTCAACAAGCAATGTGCATTCCGATACATACAAAATGGTGCTTTATAGCGCAGGGAAGACTTTAAACACAAGTCCTGACCTGACCGGTACTGACCTCATTTACGTAGTACAAGATAGCGAGTCGGAATGCTAGAATACTAATGACTAGCCCAATCGATGTTTCAACGCAGACCGACATACATCATGCTCATCACAAGGTGTGAAGGGGCCTGGCGCTATACACAGGAAAGATGCGCCAGGTCCAGACATACACAGACGAAGAGGAGGGGATCAGACGAAGAAGAGGAAGGGGGAGATGGGAAGTCGTCAACACCAAGTCTCGTTACCAGTCCCAAATAATCCCTCTTCAAAATGTCTGAAGTCCCATGTCGAGTCTGGATCCAATGTCACCAAGCTCGCTCTCTCTCTCTCTCTCTCGTAGTCTGCTGATGCAGTGAAGTCAGATAGTGAGAGGGTGAGAAGAAGATGATGGACTGAGAAGAGGAAGAAGAAGAACTCTCTCTCTCATATGTGCCAGGTACTGACCTGTGAAGATGGCGCTGAGCTGCAGGTACCTCGAAGACGAAGCTGGAGCAACGGCGCTGCAGGTAAGACTGGTAAGTATCCCTGGCCTCCGCCCAATCTCTCTCTCTCTAGCACTACTCTAGCTATGGCGCCCCGCGCTGAAGACTACAACTAGCGCTACTAGCGCCCAGCGCTGAAGACTACTGCTAACGCTACAACTACTCCTGCAGCGCTCCTCCAGAGTGCTGCTGCCGAATCCTGAAGACTACTGACTGCCTCCTGCCTTCCACGTGAGGTGCCTGGGAAGTACCTAGGAGCTACCTCCCAACTACCTGCAGCCTGCAGGGCGGGCCAGTCTTATATAGTGCTGGCCCGTCCAGGAGGCTGCTGTTGCCAATGCCAAAACGTGCCAGACCCTGCGGTTGAAGCTCAAACAAAGGTTGTATTGAAAATAGGCCAAAAATGGCTTGAGCTAAAACCCTGGTCTGGTGCCTGAGTTTCAGGGCAGGTCGAACTGATGAGGGCCTGAAATTGGCCCTCAGTTTCAGGCTGAAAATACTCAGGGCCGGAAAGGCCCTGATTTAGCCTGAAACGACACAGGGCCTGTAGGCCCTCGTTTTCAGGCTTTCAGGCTGAAACGACATGGGGTCTGTAGGCCCTTGTTTTCAGGCTTTTGGCCTGAAAACAACACGGGGTCTGTAGGCCCTCGTTTTCAGGCTTTCAGGCTGAAAATGACACGGGGCCTGTAGGCCCTTGTTTTCAGGCTTTTGGCCTGAAAACAACACGGGGTCTGTAGGCCCTCGTTTTCAGGCTTTCAGGCTGAAAATGACACGGGCCTGAAAATGGCCCGTGCAGCCTGTTGCAGGTGCAGCATGTAACAGCGCTGCTGTGCTCGGAGCTGCGCTAAACCAAGATTAGCGCAGCGGTTCCTCAAACTGCTGCCGTCCTCTTCGTACTGAAATGGCCATTGGCTGGGCCTAAATACCGGCCGGCGACCAGTTTGGCCTCTGCCTCCCACGGTGGCCTCCGATCTGAACCGTCGGATCTATCGTCCGATCCGTGGTTCAGGTCGGACCGGTTTTCGGGAAGCAGGCTGCCTAAATGGCGGCCTGGTCCAAACGAAACGTTTGGCCTTTTCCCGCCCAGGCCCTGCAGGTCTAGAACCGGTTGCCCAAGGCCAAAGGGGCTGCCTAAAAAGGTCCGACCTTTGGGCCGGCCTGGCCTGGATTATCGTGTCCAGGCCCTCGGAACCCCTCAGCCTAGTCGTCGGGCCTGAAAGGGCCCGTGTGGAATGTAGTATGTAACACACTCCCCCCCATAAAAGACCGAGCTACCTGCAAGGGCGAAGTTGTCTGTCCGATACCTGGGTGGGTCGGGTGGGACGAACTTTGTCCTTGGCGAGTCGCCGGTTCTCGTAGTCGGAGAAGATGAGTGGTGCAGATGCCTGTAAGTCTGTGCGGGAGATCCAGCGAGTGTCATCAGGGGCGCATTGCTTGAATGTGACTTGGTATTGCATTGGCTTGTTGCCATACTTGCGATGTGTGATGACACGGTCAACTTCCTGATGTCCGTCCATAGAGGGCGGATCCTGTGATCGTCGGCCCGGAAACTCATCCTCGGAAGGTGGCGTATACACTGCCAGCTTTGGCGCATGATGGTCACGCATGCGATGGCTGCTGTCCATTTTGGCACTTGCTGCGCTGAATAGAAGTCCTGTCGGGTGTGCCAGCCTTTTATGAGACGCTTACCAGACCGTCTATAAACATTTCTGGTTGGGGACTTGGTTGATTCTGGCTGTGATCGTCGTCCTGACTGCGACGTTAAATAATTCCTGAAGAGATGGGGGCGCTCTTAATATTCCTCCTGATCAGCCAGATCAACCGGGTGTAAGGCTCGTTCCGTACGAGGGTAAATAAGAGTGGACTGACTGGCTTGCTCGACAACGACTTGGGCACAGGGGTGGGCCGACATTGCACACGAATGACACCGCTGCTCATTGATGCTTACCGGTATGTTGGATTGAGGGGAGGGTAGGTTCTAGTTGATGCTCAACTGGATACACAACCATACCCACTCATCATACATCTGCAACTTGGTGGAAAGACTGCTAACACCTCACAGACATATTAGAGTAGGACTGTTGTATACTACCATAGCCAGTTCTATCTAATGCTGCTGTAAGTGAACCAGTCAAAA